GTGGTGCAGTTCGGCTGCTGATGCCGGTAACGCAGCTAAATGTGTCGGGTTTGCTTCTGGAGGGATGTGGCGTTGGAAAGATTTAACCAGCTCTGGGGCAAGCCATAGGGTGCTCTTCCTGGGCGAAACAACTCCCACTCCAACTGCTGTAGTAAAGGTTATACATCGTGGAAGGGATCTATTTTCCCAAAGTGGAGCTTCTCATATATAACGAACAGCAGCAGAAAGACAAACAGAAGCTTTTTTGCCCTAAGACCTTTGGGAATCTGGTCAGGGAAAATCTTATTGCCGTGGGCAGTTCTGTGCACTAAGAGGGGAAAAAATGGGCTCTTGTAACCAAAGAGCGTCCCAGTGTCAAGAGTACTTCATTCCGTGATGTCATGATTGTTCTGCTGAAACCGTGCAGAGCAGCAGATAGCATCAACTAGCAGAGAAAGCCTCAAAACACTAACTGCCTTTTCTGGGTATTGTAGAGAACTGTATTTTCAGTTCAATTCAACTGTATTGTATTGAACTGTTAATTGCCAACTTCTTTGATTTAATACTTCCTTCTTTATATTGGCCTTCTGATCAGTTTATCAGTATTTTCAGTCTACGTGGTGTGGAAATGACTTGCTGAATCACTGCTGAGTGTTGTGGTAGGACCTTGAGCATCCAGCCCCACTCATTTCTCTAGCCTGCAAGCCATCAGTGCCTGTGCTTTACACGAAGTGCTGTCACAAAGTGCAAGTGAAGTGGTGGCCGTGGAGTCAGCAGGTGGAAGAGGTACTGCTGGTAGGGCTCTTAAGGATGGAGAACAGTCATAGTATTTGTCTGGGAAGATGGAAGACAAGAAAGAATAACCTGTGGGTGTTTGCCAAGAAATCAGTGGTCCGATTTTTTTTCTGACAGCAGTTTGTGGTCTCAGAGATGAGAGTCTTGAGTTACTCCTGTGCATGTTGCAACCCTATTAACTGGTCTGTGTGTTGCTATCACAGGAAGTTCATGGTTTTGCTCTCTGCAAGTAGTGAAACACTCATTAATAAGATTACTTGGCATGAGCAAAGTTGGGGTGGAGGGGGAGGAGGAAGGCACTCCTCTTAGACCACATTAGAACAGCATGGGGACACACCAGGCTCTATTATTCTTTGTGGTCTCTCCAACTTAATCTGGGAGGTCTGGGCGGCACGTTTCAGAGGCTGATGTTGAATGGAGCAGCTGCCCACAGGTGATAAATGCTCATTGCAATCAAGTTGTCCTGTGCTGCAAATTTCACTGGCTCCCCTTACCTTCCCAATCCCAATGGTTAGTCACAGCCTGGGTATGCTATGGTACAGCACTTGGGTCTCCTGGAGATGACTTTGCTTTTCTTCACAGCCTGGGGCAGTTACACACCTGCTGTGGGGAGTGTTTGCAGGACCTGGTGAAGCTGTTGTGCTTGTTGGAGGGTAGAAGGAAAAGCTTGAACTTGGTGACTGAGTGCTAGAGTGCAGGAGTGCTGACTGATAGTGCTTTTGTGGAGGAAGGAATTCACTGAAAACAAAAAAAAACCCCATACATTGATCAGGGGAGCTGTCTGGATGGCATGTTCTCAACTGTCAAAATGGTCTTATTTTGTTTGTGCATACTCAGATGGTGATGGCCTGATCTGTGCTTGAGATCAGGTATCTGTCATAGTATTTGAGGTACTTAGCCACTTATGACAGATACTTGATCCCAAGCACAGAGCCACTGGGAACTACACAGCAGTAAAGCCACGCCAGATGCTCAAAGGTCAGGTGTGGAAACAGAGACCTGCCCTCAAGTATACCTTAGTATTTCCTGCATATTTTTTTCTCTGTGCATATGCTGAAGTTCTCGGCCAGTATGATGTTGTCAGTCAAGGACACGTTGTCTCACCGATTGTACATTCTCCCTCCCAGGATAGGGGGAAATGTGCTTTCCAAGTGCTGCTTGTTTGACTTGGAGGCGGAGGTGCTGGGCACGTGTGACGGCAGAGTGACGTGCGCCACTGCTGCTATGGGTGTGCGGGCACCTCTGTGGGGGTGTGCCCATGTTCTCAGTCAGCTGATGCATGTGAATATGAGACAAAGCCTGAGATTTGAGATTGCTACAGTGTCTCAAGTTTCTGTGAAAAATCACAAAACCACTAGTCTTACTACTCAGTTGTGGATGTGAGATGGATGGGGCAAATCTCTTTGAAGAAACAGGAAGGTGTCAACTCCAGCATATGTGGGGGAGTTGATGTATTACGTCACTTCTGAAGGAGGTTGTTTTCCAGAAGTTAGTTATATTTTTTCTTAAGAAGCAGAGCAAATGGTCTGTTCAGTGTACCCCATCCAGAAGTGATGGCATGGGCTGTATCTGTACTCCCTTGCAGAGGGGAAAAATTCCCTTGGGGAGGAATCAAGACCTCGTGGAACCTGCTGTGTAAAGCTGTGGTGTGAGTTTGTACTCACGTGTGCATTTTAGCTGAAAAAGTTGTGAAACTCTTGGACAAGTGACCACTCTCAAGTGATGGGGCACCAGGACATAAGGAGCAGAACAAATATACTTTACAGTTGCTGAAATTTCCTTTGCTTTTTCTTGGCAGTGGAGAGAGCGGTGCAGGGAAAACAGAGAGCACGAAGCTATTGCTGCAGCACATAATGAACCTATGCAAAGGCAACTCACAGCTGGAGCAGCAGATCCTTCAGGTAGGTCATTACAGGATGGTACTTGAAGATGCAGAAGCAATGCTACTGCAAGACAACTTGCATTAGGCTCAGGAAGCCTGCTGATGATTCACCACTGGAAGTCAGGGTGCAAAACAAAAGACACACAAAAAAAGGGTGGATAAGGACGGTGAAATAGCTGACCACAAATTAGAAGCATTGGTAAATCAGTAATTCTGTTTGCTGGGTATGTAGTGATATCTTAAATGAGAGAAAACTTTTGTGGATGGGGGGG